TGGAGCGGCCGCTGGCCATCGCAACTGTTGTAACGCTCTACCCAAGACTGCTTGCGCGAGAACACTAGAATTGTAACGTCGTTGTGTTTACGTCGTAATATTAAAACTCTCGTTTTTATTTGGTCTTACCACTGGTCTTGGACAGGGGCTGAGTCAATCTAAGGTAGCTCATTTTGAAAGAAATTTGTCACCTTTGGTAAAAGTACTTGCAACTCGGAAGCGGCAAAGAAGTATCTGGGACCGTGGAATCGTAACTAAAAACAATTCTGGCGAAACATCATCCAAGATATAGTTATTTATCTCTTTTCCTGGCAAAGACTGCATTTGTGTTGGTACTGTTACGAAATTTAGACCGCAACGGCTTCTCTCAGATTCTCTTGCACTCTTGGCCAAGGTGCGTGGCACAGATGGTGATATTTCTGTACAATACTTCACCGTTTTGAAAGAACTCTGACTTTCTCTGATCACCGTTTTGAAGGAAATTAAATTTTTCGAACGTCTTTCGAAAGATGTGGCAAAAATTTTTCTTGTCTCAACGACCGGCCTTAATGTCCTCAGCAGCGGCGAGCAATGCGCGATTTCCTTTTGCATAAATGTTCTTCCAGCAAGAGACGTCTCCAACTGATTTACAAATTAAAGCCTGCAACAACTGATATTTACCGTAGTGGAAGATTTACTGATCTTTTTAGGCGTCATTCGGTTCGAAGCGTTTCACGTGTAGTTTGTTTTAATTGCCGATAAGCCACGCTCGCCAGTGGACAAAGTAGAGGGAATTTCCCACTTATCTGCCCCTCCCTCAAACCGCTAATTTGTATTCTGCTAAAATCTGGAAGACGCGTGACCAGCCTAAACCAGGGTCTAGGTCTCTCCTCTCTCGCTCCAGGGGGCAGGAAGATGAGAGACCCTGGGAGCGAGGTTGTCGAACATCAGGTATATATATATGGAGTAATTAGGAGTAATTGCTAATCTATTAGTCCCCAGGACTAATGGCTGAAACTCGCCAGCAAGAAATTAAGGTGGCTGAACACAGTTTTCGGGCGCGCTTTTGCTGATGCAATTCAGCGCGCGCACAAGGATCGGATCATCGCAAAAACAAACATTTTGTCAATAGAGCAGTCATTTTTATTTACTTAACACGTATCCGCACTATCTGTGCTATTTTTCTCTATAGTTGGCGCAGTGTATTGAGGGCTTTAATCTTTTATTACAAAGACATGTTAAAAAAGTGAACGGTGCAAAGAACCTAGCAATTCTCAGCTTTTTCGTCGTTACCGAAAGAACCCGGCCCGGTTAAATGCAGCGCATGCGTAGTAAGTAAAAAAAATGCGTTTGAATAGAAAATTGCTTTCTCGGAAATATGCCTAATTTCTTGAGAACCACTCATTAGAATTTCACGAAATAAGTAACTGGAGTATTGAAAAAATATATATTTAACAAAGGAAATTCTAGATAATCGAGTGAACCTTCAACAAGGAATAATTAAAGATCTCAGTTACATTGTTAGCAAAATGGTGTTAACTTGTGAGTATCGTTATAACCTCGCATGCAAATTATAAAGAAAATCTAATGACTAGATTTTCTACAAATAAACAAAACCGATTTTAAAGGCCTGTTTATATTTATTCATGTCGCCATGGCAACAGCACTACGTCAGCTTAACTATCGAAAAAACAAAGTTTGTGTTGTTAACTTGCTTGCTTTAGCGACCGAGAGATCAAGGGTTTTAGAGAAAATGGTGAAAGAAACACAGGTATCAAAAACTGTGTTCAGCCACCTTAAAAACTCGCTAGCGGGAAATTGAACTCTCGATAGCAGGAAATTGAAAACTCGCTAGCGAGAACTGAAGCTCCCCAAAAAAAACTCAACCATCGCCTTATTAGACTCCCATACGTCTTTCAAGCTCGTCATTTAAGTTTTGCAACTCGCCAATGCTAAAAGCAGTTGGACCAAGATTTAAAACTCGAATGGCTTTTGGCAGTAACGGCTTGCCATAAATGAACTTTTCCAATCCCTTAGTTGTCCTTGAGGCCAAAATAAAGTGTCTGTTCTACGCAAGACCACTTTTCACGCTATTACGCAATCGCAAATTCAGGGAAGGAAACTGATCCTAAATGCCACATCAGAAGTAGCTTTCGAAAGCGTCAACATCTGTTTGCACCCCTGGACAACTTAAGACAACTCAAAACCGAAAATGCTTCTGCTCTTGGTTTTTATGATACAATTAATCTTTTTCTAAGGGAAACTTTTGGGATTTTTGAGTTATTAAGACTGCGCTTCTTAAAGTGTTAAACAGGAAATGATGTGAAAATACGGAAAAAGGAGAGGACTGCCTGCCAAGATATCCGTACAAATTAGGATCACTTCCTGCTCAGTCCCATAGAAAAATTGAAATGATGAACAAGATTTATCTTTCACAAACCTAGCCATACATAATCCACATAGTATTCACCGCGCGAGTTTCCAAAACGGGATTAGCTGGCGCTTGTCGCACGTGATTCGGTCGCGATAATCATGTAACTCAGGACAACCTAAAAGTGTTAGGTTATCTCTCTTTCACGAATGCAAATTCGTGAGGAAAACGTAACTTCCATGATCACTAGAGGTCAAAGATCGGTTATCACATGGTAGATTGTATGCATGACATGTTTTTCAGCGGCATGACAACCTGTGGAGTACCCTTGTAATTCCTAAGTATGCGTGAAAGATCAGAAAAAATAATAGTTCGCTCCACGAACAGCCCCACCCTCCAGAAGAACAAATATTTCGTGTGCATGGTGCGATCAAATTCAATATTTGGGCACGTTTTCTTGATGACTTCTGGCGAAGGAGGGAACTAACCAGAAATGTCTAACTCACGAATTCGAAGAAATGAACATCACGATTGTTATTTTAGAGAGAAACAAATTCCTTTCTGGTAAGACTGCTCAAAATATCAAAGTCTCGTTATCGAATAGCACCATGAGAAATCCGGCCATTTCATTAGCATGAGAAATCTTCTAGACTGGCACATTTAAAATAGATAAGTAGGTTAGGTCACGAACTTGTGATAATTGCGTCCTACTGATGTGCATCGGTTCTCACGGTTTGACGTCACACGGACAGACGTTAGTGAAACGAAAGAATTTGTAGATCGGAGTATCGAAATTTGCCTTTTTTATGTTTTTTGTGTTTCTTATTCCTTCCATTTGACCCTATTTTGGTCAAAAGAATATCACGAATAATAACACTTAGCAATTTCAACATAAAAAATTCATATAGCTTGAGACTGTAATACAACATTTTCGATTTTTAGAGGTTCTTTGATTAATCTGGTGCGATTACACTGACAAGCTGAGGAACTGGAAAATTTCCTATTTGTTGAACATAATCATCAACAACCCGTTTTTTTCTGTGTTTTTTTTTTTTCCGTCTTTTTTTGTTTTGTTTTGTTTTTTGTTTTATTTAATGTTTACATTACTAGTTTCATTGGGGAAAATTACAGGTACCCTTAAGTTTTCCCGACGTGTTTATGTGTACTCGAATTAAATAACAGTTGCATAACTTTGATTCAAGAATGCAGACATTGAACTTCCATCGTATTTGACCCGTTAAACATGACCACTGACCGTTGGGAGTTAACTTTCCCGTTCCGTGATACGAAAGTGCGAAAATATCGTAAATTGCTGTGATAATATTAGTCGCGTGAACAAACAGTTCCTCTGGGGTAGGCACGGGAGAGACATAAGCCGAGCGGCATCATGGGTTTGAAGAAAGGAAGCTGCTCGAAACTTACTGAAGGGTGTTGATCGTCTTCTATGGATTTTTAATTTTCTTATTATAGGTTGTATACAGAGATTGTATATCTCCCTTTTCCGCCGAATGAATTGTTGAGCTGATACAGTGAATGAGTGGTAAAAGCCATTTTCGTCAGAGTGGGGGAAAGTATTGACCTTGTGGTCAACTCCCTTGATATCCGTTTGGCTGTGGTGGTAGAGGAACAGGAAAACACAAGCTGTGAGCCATTCAGCTGATTAATTTGTCTGATTTTTATACGTACACGTTTCGAAGAATTCTCCCCATTTCTTCTCTGAATTTGGCGAGACTACGCGTCTTGAAGGTACGTTTTTGTGCCGAACGTGTGATTGTGTTAGTGAAGTGATTTAGTATATTTAGGAAGAGGCAAGATTATTTTGCGTCTTTGTACATTTCTCCAAAACTCAACTCGTGAAGTCAAGCGCGCTTCCTGATAACATATATATCATTTCTGGAACTAGCCGCTAAAGGTTAGGAATCTGAAGGGTTTGTTCAGAAAATGGATGCCTGCTTTATGGACTGGAATGAATTGAAATAATCATCTTTTGAACACAGCTTAATCTTAGAGTTGTCTATTAAGCTTTTTTTTTTTATGCACAGTGTTTCGATTGCGTTTACTATATGTAAATGTCTTGCATTAATATATTTCGAAATACACAGATATAGTCAAAATATCTTTGTTCTTTTGAGCTTTGATTAATTCAGGAACACCAAACTTTGGACGTCATTTTGTTTTTCGAAACGGTGAACTTTATTCGAAGCTTCCATTTGCGGAAGCCCAATATTTTTTAACTGCATTCAGTGTGAACAAAAACTCTCGTTTGGTAGATATTGAACTCAGTAAATGTCAAGTTACCAAACCTTTCGAGATATTTGGATGTGTGCACAATATTTTCACGTATTCGTACGTGTTATTTCGTGAGTAGTTATTCAGCCGTTGTATATTATTGCGAAAGAGATGAATGGTAAGCTTGTGACAATTTTAGTGCATCACAATCTCAACGTAACTCGCAAGTAAGTTGTGGACAACTGGTGTGTTTTGGGGAACAATTTACATGCTTGAAGTGGTTAGGTCGAGAGCAAATCGCTTCTGTTTCAGAGGCCAAGATTTAAAAATGATGAGAACAATTCGATTCTATGTCAGATGACTGTTTTGGCAGCTGTTTGGATGACCTAGAAAATTACCTACACCTTTATTCCGTTTCTGCTATAGGATTCAATCAAGCAAATTTAAATTTTCACAGGGCAGATGAGATTGCAGTTTCAGTGTGTAAAGCAGTAAATTATCTTTAAACTCCTTGTCAAGAATGTTTTTACAATCTTTTGTCTGACTTGTGACCTTTAAGATTACCTTTGCTGAATAATTGGCCTGCATGAACCATTAGGTGCCACCACTTGTGGTAAATGATGTCCAACTTTTTTTTCAATTTTTAACTGTTTGATTTTTGTCTGTGAAATGAAAGGGAATTTTTAATGGGGTGATTTATTCAATTAATCTTTTAATTAAAGTATTTTTGGAAAAAAAGTAAATTAACTTTGTTTTTGGAGTTTTCTGTAATTCACTTTAAATCCAGACCATGTGTGAGGGAGCTTTTTCAGGAAAGGAAAAGGAAATTTGGAAACTTTGATAAAATTGTTTCTTATTGCAGCCTGTCTTTCAGGAAGTAATTCAGGTTTTTGAATTCTCAAATTGTAGCTAGATTCAAACATGATTATAATTGAATAAATAAAGGGAGAGCTAGTCAGTAATTAACAGTACCAGCTGTAAGTTACAACTTAAAATTTAACAGCAATGTCACAAACATCTCATTGCTCCCTTCATTAGGTCTTTGTGTATGTGGTAGAGATTGATATTATGTTGTGTTTTGATCTTCCAATATCAGCTTTGGGACAAGTTGTTACAAAGGAGGGGTTAGATCATTTCAGGTCTGATTTTCACTATTGCTTAAATAGTGCTCTTTACTGCGAGGATTGTGCGCAAATATGTTTCTATAACCACAGTTCAGATAATTATATGAATTTCATATATTCGTTGTGTTTGGAGAGGGGTCAGTTTCCAAAGAAGCGGTTGTGCTACATCTGTGAAGGTTATAATGCGATAATTTGCTTTAATCAAAAGAGTTGATAATGTAAATTGGCTACCAATGGTGTAAATTGGCTACCGATGGTGTAAATTGGCTACCAATGGTGTAAATTGGCTACCATTAAGAGTTTATAAAGCTGGCCTCAGTTGTTTGAAGGGTGGATAATGCTATACACTGGATAAATCTCTATTCGGTGGATAGCGCAGTACGTTTTGGTAACACTTATCTGCTGGATAGCGATTTATCCATTGGATAGCGTTATCCGCCCTTTGAATAACCAGAGCCTGATGTTTTGAGCATTAGCCCTTGGTGAGAGCAAATCAAGAGGCTGCTAAGAGATGAAATTATAAGATTGTATTTTTTGAGGAGAATCAAAATTGTTTCCATTGCTTGGTTAAATGTAAATCTAACTTAAGCTTAGGAATGGCAGAAGAGATACTGGTACCTACATTTACTAAATTCCCTTTATTTATACATGTCCAAATGAATGGTTGCACTTTTTTGTAAAAACCCTTTTGTTTCAGAAAGCAATGGCTACAGGGGCCTTAGAACTTTCCCATGTGAATCGGGAAAATATTACAGTAGCACATCCAGATTTTCCAAGGCTGCAATCAGAAGAAAGTGCTGGTATTAGAAGACCTCCTGGTATAAAGAAATCTATATCATGGGGAAACCGATCTGATTATACTCGGTCATTGTCTCCACAATGTAAGTCGTAAAGCTTTTTTAAGTCACTCCATTCAGTTACATGATGTAGTGCGTAAATGTAATGCTGCATAATGATTTGCAAAATCTTAATTAAATTGGGGAAATTTGTCTTAATCCTGTTTGCCTCTTTGAACAATGCAAGCAAGTTACTGATGAGGATCTTCACAAGAGGACAATGTCAAGTCATCGGGAGATTTTAGGTTTTGAGTTGAAAATTTAAATGATATTATTTACATTTCTTTCAGCCTTAACTGTAGCTGTATTTCTAGTGGAGAAGTCAGGCCGTCTGTTAAACTTGGAGGAGGGAAGAAACACTGAGGCAGGGACAATTAATACCATCATGTCAGAAAATCTTTCTCTTCCCCCTAGTGCCTCTCAGGTGTTTTGTGTGTGGCTTATTTCTCCTCTTTTACGTAAGTAAATCATTATTATGTCCATTGAGTATTACACTCTGTAACAATTCCTCCATTTGTGGTAACTTGAGAGATACAAAGTCTATGACTAATGATCAAATGTGTAATGTAATGTAATCTTTATTTAAACACAATCAATTCATCAGCTCATTAAAAATACATATAACATACCCTTAACTGGTAAACATTGAGATGTCAGTAACATGAACCAGACAGTAACCCTTACCAAAATTAAGTATACTGCAAATAAGATACACAAAGTATACTTTCAGTAGACTTGAAGTATAGTTTGAGGAGCTACTAAAAGTATATTTGTAATAATTATACTTGTTCCCACCTGAAATTGGAACACCCAAAAGTGTACTTTAAGTACACTTGAAGGGTACTGAAAATTTTGCAGTACACTTCAAGTATACTTTAAGAGTAAAACCACTGGTGGCAAAGTGACAAGTACAGTGTACTTTAAGTGTACTAAGAATGTATTCAATAAATATATAATTATATGGATGGCTATACACGACTTTCATAATGGTGGATGCCTAGGGAAAACTGGCACTAGTACATGGGGCCGAGGCCAACCAGTCAAGTGCAAAACAAACATGGCGCCCGAAGTTAGCGATAGTAGCGTGAAATTGAGTGAGAATGATATACCAGGAGCTTCTTTGTGTGGTCGAAAACCCGAAGAATTGAAAACCGATGAGTTGAAGTTTTGGCTTAGATGTCGTGGGGACAATGGGAAAGGATTAAAAACGAAAGCACAGCTCGTTAAAAGGTACGTTTGCTTGCATTTGACGCGATCTATACCATTGAAATGATATCCTGACTTGTCGTTTCTATTTTCAGAATCAACGATTATATTTCATCGGGAAGAGATAAAAAAATATTTGATCCTGATCCAAACAAAATATATTCCCAAAGAAAGGAATCACAAAGTACAAGCGCCGCGAATGACGACTCGACTTCTTGCACAACGCAGCCTTTAAAATATCCAGCAAACGATTGGAGTCTGTCTCTTCAAAAGATGCCCGTATTTACGAGAGCTAATATTGATGTACACATAGCGAAAACAGGGAAAAGAATTGCCAACAAAGACCAGCATAGCATCCCAACTGCGTTGCAAAAAGGCAAGAGATTCGACGATGACGAGTATCTTGAGGAAATACGTTGTGCTTGTGACGAAAACTACTTCTATGTGAAAGCACAGTGTACTCACAGTTTCTCAAAAAACGATCTGCCCCATCAATTAAAAATTGCCCTCAATATAATATCTGGTAATGTGGAGCATGCGGTATGCACTTGTATATCAGGGAATGCTGGACTTTGCAACCATATGATAGGACTGATGTTTAAACTTTGTAAGTTCACCATATATAAATGCACAGTGACTACAGATCTTAGCCATGAAGCTGACCAGCAAGCCACCCTAGCTTGCACATCTAAGTTGCAACAGTGGCACCAGAAAGGAGGTGGCAAAAAAATTAAGCCAGAACCAGTCATGGAGATGGTTATTGAAAAAACAAAACTCAACGATACCAAGACTAGGTCTGGGGTAAAGTGTCTACTCTATGAAGCAAGAAGGAACTGTTTGCATGACATGAAAGCTGAGCAGATACTGAGAGCGACTCTTTCTACAACTGAACCAAACTGTGGCTTTACGCATATGTCAAATGTGCAAGTACAAGAGAGTAAAGAAACAAAGTATGGTAAATGTCCCAAAGGGTCATACACATCTTATCAAGTGGGGTATAGTGAGGCAAACTTTACTGCTGTTGCAGATATTAATACAATAACAAGACTTGCACTACCTATTGCAGTCAATCTGGTCTATCCACAATTGCCATTGAGAAATTCAGATGAAACTCTACAAATTCCAGATGGTATGAGTAATGATGAACTTTCCTTTCTGCGTGGCTTGGAAGTAGATGAAAAAAAGATCAATGAAATTGAAAATGAATCAAGGGAACAAGCCAATTCTGCAAGATGGTCTGAAGAACGAAGGTGGAGGTTTACTGCTTCCAACTTCCACACTATCTCAAAGAGACAAAGAAACCACGACAATTTTGCTGACTCCCTTATAAACCCTAAAGAGGTCAAAACAGTTTATACTGAGCATGGGAAAAGGTATGAGTCAACTGCTTTACTAGAATACCACAAATTCATGTTTCATCAAAAAACACCAGTAAAAGTTTTACCCTGTGGATTGGTTGTGTCCAAAGATTTCCCTATTCTTGGGGCAAGTCCAGATAGTAGGGTCAATGATACTGGTTGCGTTTACCACTTTGGAATTGCTGAGGTGAAATGCCCATACAAGTATTTTAATGTTCATCCCCTCAATGCTGCTGATGATTCAAAATTTTTTATGGAGAAGATCAGTGATAAACAATGCAAATTAAAGGAAAACCACATGTATTACTCACAAGTTCAGGGGCAAATGGGCATCACAGGTGCTATGTGGTGTGATTTTATTGTATACACAAAAGTTGGCCTCTATGTTCAAAGAATCTCTTTTGATCCAGACTTCTGGAATCAGCTCAGACAACAACTAGTTAGTTATTTCTTTAATCATTTTATCCATTTTGCTGCTAAGAGTTACAGTGAACAACAGAATGATAATTAGAATTTTTTTTTTAAATATTGAGACTGATAGTCTCTTACCGATATTAGAGGAAGTGTTACAGAAAGTTACTGACAAATAGTGACTTATTTGTATTTTTGCTCATTAAACATATTGTATGCAACCATCTTCAAGCCAAATTGAATTTTTGCTCAAATTTTTCTGAAAATTTTTGATAGCTTTTTCTCTTTTTGCTCCACGTGACCAAATTAAATTGATTGTACAGATTCATTAATTAAAGCTTTGTTGGTTGATTGGTAGAAGTAGTGACAATAGTTATGAATAGAGTTGGCATTGCCACATCAATCTTGTTGAGTTAGTTTATTATTTTGATACAATAATGTAGTTTCATTATTTAAATGTACATTGTGATAAATTATCAGCTTGTATCTAAAAAGAAATTAAAACAGAACATTATTTCTTAGTTATTAATAATGTATTATTAGTCATAATTACTTAATATGAATATCAAATTGAATTTTGTTTTGGTCAAATCAAGTTAGATTGAAATTATGTTTGGTTGAGCATTGCATAGAATGGCACAGGCTGCCCACATTTGATTAACTATACCAAACTGATGCAAAGGGACTACTCGATCCCAAACATGAAAGTTTTTTATTTTATTTATTGCTGGTTCAATGTGGATCCTAAGGCTTGCAATTTCCTGAGTTAGTATGACATTCTCTGCATCCATTTGAGCTGATGCTCCCAAAAATGGTGGTAGATTTAGTGAAACCCCAAGTGGAAGCAAATCCTGGATTGTGAATCCTTTGTCAGCCATGACAGAGTCCTTTTCATCAAAAGTCATATCCAAAAACCCACTTCTCTCAACTATTTCTCTGTCAGATATAGACCCAGTATACAATTGACTAACAAATGTAATGGCACCACCAGGAGAAATGCCAACTAAACCCTTGAGAGTGGTATGGTTTTTGTAGCTACTAAATAACTCTGAATTTTTCTGCAAACTGCTTGGCATTTGACATTTCACTTCGGTGCAGTCAATAATCACTCTTGTTGACTTGTATTTCTCTTTAAAGGACTCAGGCATATTTGCATCAACATCTTCTCTTGTTGGCCATATATTAATAGTTCCTAGCTTTAGGAACATGTAATTTATCCATGTAATTATTATTCTGCTAACAGTAGATGGAGAGATGTGAAATAAATGTGCCAAGTGGTCCTCATGAAAACCTTGCCTTAGCCTACACAACACTAGAAAATATTCATCTAGTGGTTTGAGTGTCCTGGATCTCCCTTTCTTCAGGTTAATTTCCTCACTTTGCCCAGAATCATCAGAATAGTAAAAAATCTCAGTGTTTGTATTTGACGATAGCCAGTAATTGATGTTTTCACCCAATTCCCCTGGATCAAGGTAATTGTAGATGGCCATGAATGAATCCCAATTTGAAAATCCTGTATAAAAGGCACTAGAATCCTTCATATTTTGAATATTCTCCAAAGAAAATAATTTGCTTTTCAACTCATTATTTTTTCGCTCCAAGTGCGAGACCTTTAATGTAAGATCTTCAATCTTTTGATTTAATGTCTGTATAGTTTCTCGTAAGTGTTCTTCGTAAGGAGTGTAGTCAGTTTGTGTCCCAAAGTCAACACTTGTTGGTTCAATTTCATCGATAAAGGCCTGTTCTTCTCGTTCTTCGATGGTCATATCTTGAGCTGGTTCCTTTTCTGTTTGCCTCTCCGTACGCTTGTCAATAGAGAACAGCCTTACTTTTGGTGGATTCCGTTTTCTCGGCGAAGTGCGAACCCATGCAAACAAGGAAGGCACGACTCCGGGCTTCAACATGTTTTTCCCTGCCAGGGTTCTTTTAATGTCACTTTCCCTAAAATGTCGACCACAAACTACCGTTGTTTTCCTTACTTTAAAGTTTGGTCCTTCCTCTCTTCTTATAGCATGGATCCATTTTTTCTTTAGTGTCTTGTCTGAAGGAAAGGTGAAGAAAGAAAGCTTTTCGCCGTCTTCGCCATGGACGTCTCTCGCAGTACACTGTGGTACACAACAGTGACTTGGCATTGCTCGTAATTAATTCGGCCAATAAAACCACAAGAGTAAAAGGAGATTATATCTTCTTTCTATAACGGTAAAGCTGTACTAAAATATTGTGTACTTCGGAAGAAAAAGTATTCGTTTTTAGAACTTGGTAAATATTCCAATACAAACTCTTATGTTTTACAGCGAAAGATGACTGGATGGCCTCGCTCTCATGCAAAGTTCGATACCAGTGTTCACTCGTCGCCCGCCATTATGAAAGTCGCGTATACAGCTAGGTTAATTAATATGTACTGTCAGGCATGCATGCAACCACTAGTTCATAATGCATTCAGCAGTGTTGTATGCTTGGCTGAGTCAGATTAGCATTCAAACTAAAGTATGAAATTCATGTCTCTATTCATTTGGTGCAACTGACCATGACAAGTAACCTAAATTTTGTATAATGCAAGACTGCTTCTTAATTGTCTTTTAATGCAAAAATTTATGTTACAGTGAAATCCACCATTGGATTATTTTATTAATATCATAGGTGACAAATCACTCCTTAATTTTGGCATGAAATTTCAGCATTAATTTTTAATTTCACATGTGAAATAACAAAATTGCCATGGTAACATCTCTTGTATCTCAATCAGAGCCAAGATGGTATTGAGATTTAAGAGGGTGACCCTTGAAGAAGTTACAAAATTAAAAGCGGCCAAAAATTTAAATACGCAAAAGAGCACAATTAACTGGGTGCGAGTTTTTGAGAAGTGGTGTGATGAAAATAGCCTTGAGAAAAACCTGGAGATGATTCTTTCCGAGCAGTTGGATAAAGGACTTGAGCGATTTTTCGCCTCCATCCCTTGTGAAAAGATCTAGGAATTTCCTAGGAAATCTGAAGATTTTCCTATAAATTTCCTAAGAGTATTCCTAGGAAATTCCTAGGAATAAGGTGTGAAATTTCACAGTAAATTGGGACAAAGAATTCAAAGAATTCCTCGAAATTTCCTAGGAATTTCTTAGGATACACATTTCACTTTTGTCTCACCAAGATTAGGTCCTTCAGGAAATTCCTAGGAATTTCTTAGGAAAATAGGAAAAATAGAATATAGACACTTTAACAACTGCCCCACAAAGTGGAGGTAGGGTGCCTGAGACATCCAGGACCTTCCACCATTGGCAGCCAGCTCCTAGATGAAGACCGCTATCATGGCTGGCAAATTCAGGCGACCCAGCCATGAGCCCGCACGCAGAAGGAGTAAAACAGGGAAAAACGCTGACTAAAATGCTAACAAAACTGAACAACATCCAATGGACCAAGAACACAGGAATCCAGGTGCATGCCAGACCGCTGGCTGTGCCGGATAGCACTTGTGTTCCACATTGTTAACTCCATTAAATTGCACTTAACACAAAACATAACACCATATGATAGGAATTGAATTGAATTTATTATATACAACTCAAGTAAACATTATAATTATCAATACTTTTTGTTGTTACTATAGATTGTACATGAATATATAAAATTACTTGGAATACAAAACAAACTAAAAGATCACTCAAAGGATTAATAAATTGACAACTTTGGATTCACATATGTCAATTATCAGAAATCATGCATGGCCGATGCGATTTGAAAAGTTTGAATCAAAATATACATTTTTGGCAAAATCATTATTTTCCAGTGGAGCATGTTTTCATTCAGGCTGATAAAATGCATGCACAAACATGTCAATGCTATTTTGGCATCTGAACTAATTAATGTGCAGATTGTTATTATTATGTGATATCATATTAATTGTTAATTAGTATAATTTCAGAGCTGAGCAAAGAGTTTCCAGCAATCTGATTGATTGAGCGGTTCCTTATTTAACAATTATTCGCCGAAGGTGAGGTGAATATCGTCAAATAATCCCAGAGATGAAGTCGAGGGGATTATTTGACAATATTCACCAAACCTGAGGCGAATAATTGTTTTAGTATAATTTAAGAGCTGAACAAGAGAGAAATTTCAAAAGTCATAACATTTTAGTAACATTTATATGCTATATAAACACG